ATTCTCTGACACCCAGAGAGAGAGAGGGATATGGAGAAAGAAGAAGCAGGACGTAATTGGGGTTTGGGGGTACAGTGAACACTGACCTGTGGGGAGATTGGGTTTGAACCTGTCACTGGGATCTTGGTGCCGTCAGCATGGTGGCTCTGCCAGTCTCTGTCTCTCTCTCTCTCTTTCCTCAGACACACACACACACAATCACACACTTCTCCCCTGCTGGAGACAGTTCCATAGCGCTGTGTAGACCTGCTGGCTGGCAGAATTTTTAAAGAGCATGGAGGTTTAAAGGCAGAAACCCCTAGGGAGGAATCCCACCAGCTTGGAGAGAGAAAAGGGGGAGTTTGCTGTCTCTCTCTATATATTCCTGTCTTTCTCTCACCTTATCTCTCTTTTCTCTCCTATCTCTGTCTGTCTCTCTGTCTGCCTGGATGCCTGCCTGTCTATATCTCTCAGTTCTCATGCTTTCTCTCCCTTTCCTTCCTTCTGCCTCTTTCTCTCCTTTTCTTTCTCCTTCTATTTCTCGCCACATATCTCTCGCACCCCCCTCCCTCTTTCATCCCAGTATTGACAGAATGAAGAAATGCTTTTCACTCGCTCATCCGGAGCACCGCTTAGTTCCCACTCACAACATCTTTCTCTCTCCCTTTTCTTTTTCTCTCTTTTTCTCCCTCCCTCCCATTCTTGTCTTGCTGTTCCCATCTAAATATTCAACTCTAACATTCACATCACCTAGTAACATTGGCTATGTTCATGCTGCAGCTGAATGTGGCCCGAATTGGATTTTTTTCCCTCACAGATGTGACGCATATCTTTTTTTTTTTTTTTTTTTTTTTTTTTAAGTCATGGAAGTCAGTTTCAGAGTAAAAAATCACGGTAACAAAAAGTAATCACAATTGATCGATGAAGAAACAGCTGCAGTTACGAGAAATAAAGTATAGTTGTGAGATAAAAAGTCACAATTGTGCAACATAGCTATAGTAGTTACGTAGTTAGTTACAGTTTTGGAAAATGACATTGCAAGTGTGCAAAATAGTCCCAGCTATGCAAAATAAAGCTGCAATTGAGAAATGGTTGCAGTTACCAGACATAATTGCAGTTGTGAGTTATAAAGAATGACATTTGAATGACAGTTTTAAGAACATAAATCACAATGAATCTGACATTAAAAAAATTCCAATCTGCAAATTATGAAAAAATAAGTTGCAGTAATGAGAAATAGTCACAATTGTTAAAGTAGTTTAGTAGTAAATTGATAAAGTAGCATTTATGAGAAATAGATGCAGTTGTGCAAAATATAGTTGTGAGATTAAAAGCAGCAATTGTGCAAAATAGTTAAAATTTTGAAACATACTGACAGCTGTGCAAAAAATCACAATTGTGCAAAATAGATTTGCAATTGTGGAAAATATTTGCAATTGTGCAAAATAAATTTTCATTTGTGAAAAATAGTTGAAACTGTGCAAAATAAAGTTGCAATTGAGTAGTTACAATTATGAGACATAAAGTTGCAATCATGAGACATAGTCACAATTGCCAGAAATACTGGCAATAACCAGAAATATTGAGTTAAATAGTCACAATTTTGTGAAATAAAGTTTTTTTTTATATATGTATAGTTCTATAGTTTTTGAATGACAGTGTGGAGAGCAAAAATTACAATGAATTTTTTCCCATTTAAATCCAATCTGGGCCAATTTCATTTTAGAAATAAATTGCATGCATGATTTTTTTTTCATTAATGCCTCGATCTAACTACTAGATGTTCATCGTAATTACACTTTTGAAAGCATTGTTATGCAGAAGCAGCACATCCCCTGATATTGGTTGCTGCTGATGCCAGTGTTGAATCTTCTGCTCCCATCCAGCCCAAGACAAGCTCTCTTCCTCTGCAGGGAGTTCAGGGAGGGAGCGGTAGTGTCTCCTGGTAGCGTGGGGTGGTAATAAATGCTGCTGGTGGAGGAGAGAGAAAGAGAGAGAGATAGTGATAGAGGAGAAGCTGTGATTGCAGGCCTCCGCAGTGGGTCCAGGGGGGAATGGAGACTGCTGTCTCATTGAGTGATATCCCTGTCTCAACAGTAAATAAATAATGCAGCCTGCAGAGTTCACCCTGCCTCCTCCAGTGAGTTGTAAATGCATTAGCTGTTTTATATTCTTTTGTCTTGGGAAAATGGTTGGTAGGGAGGCAGGGAAAGGGGAAAAAACAGTACAACCACACAACAGGAACGATAGCAACTCACGTTACACCTCTCCTCCCAGAGCACGCTTTGGTATAGTCCCCTGATCACCTGGATGAATAGTAATAAAACGGTGAGAGAAAAAGGTGTGTAATGCACATGCGTACTGAGATTTAGATCTACTAAAACCTTGAGGAGAATTGTGAGAATATTTCACTTGGATGCTAATGGACATGAATGGATTTGAAAAGCACTTGAAGTCAACATGAAATCAAATCAGTTTCTGGTACTTTTTGTTCAAATAAATGTCTTTTTGTTCAATCCAAACATGTTCTGCCCTGAAAAGACTTTCTTCTTTGGCTGACATAATCAACCTTTCATTTCATTTGACTTTCACCTGAAAATTCTGTCATTTACTTACCTTCATGTTGTTCTAAACCTGTGTGACTTCTGCAGAACACAAAAGATTTTTAGGCCCATACAGAGTCAATGGGGTCCAATCTAGTTGTTTTGGACCCCATTGACTTTCATTGTATAAAATATCTTCTTTTGCTTTCCTCTCAATTTATCATATCAAGAGCACTTTTTATGATCCCAATGGCAAAATCAAGTACTGTGAATGCCATTTCATGTTGACATGTAATGAAAGGAGTTTAAAAGGCACAGGCTTTGGAGTTTCATTGGTCCTAATTATGGCTTTTCTTGCGGTTATTTAATTCTTTAGACCATTTCAATTGACATGGCATTATGAATGCATTCATTCTGCTGCATGTTGTTACAAATATCACCTTTTGTCTAGTCCGAATGTTATTTCCAGTGTGAATTCCATTGCAAGCTCCTGTCAAGCAACTCAGATTGACAGCAGGGACCAGCGTTGATTGGCGTCAAGCAGGCCAGTGTGGGACCCGCGACAACTTCTGCATCTACGAAGGAGACAATTTTATTTGCGTAGCATCTGTTTGCATACACTTCTGCAAAAGCGTGGCACAGCTTGGCATAAACACTCGGGGGGAAGCGCCTATAGGAGTTAATGATAGTAGCAGTCACATACGGCAGCATCAGGCTTGCGTATGCGTGACAGCTTTACTGGCGTACAGTCATCCGCCGCGCCACGACACGGCGAGGATGTTTCTGCCGCTGCCAACGTTCCTCTCTCGCCTGCCAGAGCCTTCAATCTCCTCACCGCTCTCTGTATCACATACTAACTCTCTCACTCTGTCTTTCCCCATCAGCACCACCGCCTCCCACCGAGAAAAACAGCAACCAGTCATCATCCGCGCATGCATATAAATGCAAATAAAAACAGACACCCTTGCAGTCTAACGCACATACACGCACGTTGAACAATTAATTTTGTTTTAAAGGGTAGGTACGGGTATGGAACCTGCATTTGAACTACCCAGCTGCCCCCAAACACAACCGCACAGTTCATTTGAATGGTCGCAGCTTGTTATACATTGAGCAGAGGATCACTGGCAGTTCCCCATGGCTAGTCTACAGTGCAGGACTGGCCAGACGTGGCTAACCCATATGGCTATGGAAATCCATATGCTGCTGGTGCTGGGACTCTCCCTCTGGGGCTGTGCGGGAAGGTAAAACCCCGAAGGCTAGGCGTCCTTTTGCCCCCCTCCTATCCTTCCCGCACCTCCTCTGAACCCCTGGTGCTGCACAGCCATTGTTCCTACAATCTGCCGTCACCTCCGTCGTCCCCACACCTCAAGCGAAACGATCAATGAGCTAATGGCCACTAATTGTTTTAGCCTCTGATCACCCTCCCCCTTTACGTCAGCATGATGTAGTTTCCCTTTAAATCCATTCGTTTGCTCATTCATTTGCCAGGTATTGTTCTGCCTAATGAATTGTTATCGTATTGAATAGTAATTTCATCTTATTTATACAGTTTGCCTTACAAATCTTGCAGTTTGTTGAAAAAATGTATTTTTACTCTTCTAATCAACTTCTGGCAGACAAAAACATGAGAAATTTGTTTGTCAGCTACTGTTCTACTTAATGAATTTTTATTTGATTTATTTGACTTGAGACAATACTCAGCTTCCTAGCAACCATTTAGTAATGCAATAAAAAAAAAATTAGCAATGCACTAAAAACGTAACTCCATTTGTTTTCGTATTTGTTTGCCGTCTACTTTTCTGCTTAACGAATATTTATTTGAAACAGAACCATTCATCTGATTAACAGTTTGTACTACGAAAATCCCTTAGACTTGTATCTTAGGACCAGAATATCATAGAGAAGCGGAGTTTGTCTTTTTTGGCTTGAGACGATATGCAACTATCTAGAACATTTAGCAAGTATTTAGCAATGCAATAAAAACATTGAGTAATGCAGTAAAAGCAAAAATTGTTCTGATTAACGAGTATTTCTTTGAAGATAAACCGTTTCATTGGATTAACACAATTTGTGCTGCAAACATAAATAATAGCTCAGACCATGCAGTTTGTTAAGAAAATGTGTGCTTTTACTTTTCGAATCAGTTGGGTTAAAAAAAAAAAAAAATGTCCAGAAATCCCTTGCATTAGAGCTGTATCTAGGGACAATAGAGATGTGGAGCTGGACTCTTATGACTTATACAGCCTCCTAGCAACCATTTAGCAGTGCACTAAAACACTCCGAACATGTTAACAACCTCAACACTCTGGCAACCTATTATATCACATAATCCTCTTTATCAAATAATTTCATGCCATATCCATCAATTAAGTCATTAATTAAGGCTTATCCTTCAATTAAATGTAATTCATATCAGTTAGCGAACAATAACATGATTTGAATGGCTCTTAATGTCTTTTATTTGCTTCTTTTTAGGAGGTCCTGCAGATAGTGCCTAAGTTCTGCTTCCCATTTGACATTGAAAGGTAGGTTGTCCTTCATGCTTCCGGAAAATAAGTTAATCGATGATGTGTGAATTGGGAAAAATTAGGATGTTTGTTTATCCAACACTCATTCACACATGCACACGAGGCTGTCGTAAATGACTCACAGGGTGGAGCCGCACACCTCCTTTGGTTCCAGTAGTTCTTCTGTTTCTAATGTCAGACCTTTCACTGAGAGGTCCATAGCAATAAAGCACCTTTATAGAAATTAAGATCTCCGCCCCCAGTAAACAACGTTTGTTTGCTTGTCTGTCGTAACTGGCGTGATGTTTGACACGTCTCCTAAATAAATGTGTTCTTCTCACAGCGGTGTGTGTGTGTGTGTAGTGTGTGTGTTGTGTGTGTGTGTGTGTGTGTGTATTGGCTTGTTTGCTCTTGGAAATGAAAAATGGAAAGAATGGAAAGCTAGTTTGTGCTGTGTGAGAAGTTCACTTCTTTCCAGCTGAAGCTTTGTTGCTGCCATCTAGTGGAGATAAACTACACTGTCACCATTGGTTCACTTCTTACAACCTTAAATGTAATAGAATCTTTCTGCTATCAAGTGGATATGAAATTAGTGAATGCATGAAAATGTTTATAGCATGTTTTTGGTAGCTTTTCTGATATTTTTCTGAAATTTCACTCAGATAAGAGTAAATTTAGCTGGATATGAAAATGCTCGAAGTTACAGTCACTGTCTAATACAGTGTTTCCATCAAATGTAATTGAAATGTATTTTAATTAATAAAAGTTTTTTTTTTTTTTAATTATCTCTCTGTTTGATGGGCTGCAGAGTGTCCCAGACTCAGGTGGGCCAGAACTTCACATTTGTGCTCACAGACATTGAGAGCAAGCAGAGGTTTGGGTTCTGTCGGCTGACGTCCGGCTGCAGGGTCTGCATCTGTTTGCTCAGGTAAAAGAGCTTTACTGATTCATTTTTTTATTCATTTATTTATTTCACTTTTTTTTTTTTTTTTTACTTTTGCAGTGTATAATTTTCAGCTTGCCAATCTGCGTCACAAAATCATTTCATATCAAATTCAAAATCAATCATAAGTAAGGAGAGATTTCACTTTCATATCAAAAATATACTATTAATATATCATTAATAGATAGAAAGTTTTATGGATTGAAGAGGCTTTTTTTTTAACAATGTCAATTTTCCTGTTTTAAGGAAAACAAATTCCAGATCAGTTCTAGATGCTGAAATAAAGGGATTAGAAGCAAACTATACTTCACTTTTATTAAATAATAATAAACACAGATAGGAATACTCCTTTTGTTTTTTTTAGATCATAATATGCTTGATCATATATTCAGAATGAGCTGTTCCACTGAGATTGGTAGAAGACTGTGTTACATAAACGATAAACCAGTGTATTTAATAATACAAATACATTTAGTAATTCAGAGCAGCTCAACTGGGACCTATCACATTTCTCTCCCTCCGTCTACATGGTATTGATGGACAGTCGCAGGTTTATCATTGTCAAGATGAGCTCCTGTCGAGATCTCTCCTCCTCCCACCCCGGCCAGGATGGCCTTTGTTTTTGTGTGTGTGTGTGTGTGTGTTTTTTTCTCTCTTTCTCTCCCCTCGTTATTCAGGCACAGAGGCATGCTGGAGACTGTTCACCAATAATTATGCATGAAGCCCTGCTGCCAATTAGCAAGAGTCTCCCCTGTCCCTTTCACTGAGTTTTACATGCTAATTCATTTGACATATGATGTATAAAATTCATTATGCATTCTGAGTAGTTTGCATGGCTTCCTTCATTCATAATAAGAAATGCATTCAAAGTTTTGTTCCTTTTTTTTTCTTTAAGACCTTAGACTTCTTTTGTTTGTCATCTATTTGGAAAGAACATGGACAAATGTAACAAAAGACCTAAAGGAAGTTTTATTTTTCTGCCTTCTTGCAGAAGAATAGAGGATAGGAATAAGTATTTAAGTATATTATATATATATTCTTAATTTTTCATATTCTCTATTGTAGACACATCTATCTATCTATCTATCTATCAATCATGTTTTAAATATGTAATATTAAGTGTGAAGTTTGACTTATAAATTCAGTGAATAAAGCTCTGTTGTATAGTTTGTGCTGTGTGAGAAGTTCACTTCTTTCCAGCTGAAGCTTTGTTGCTGCCATCTAGTGGAGATAAACTACACTGTCACCATTGGTTCACTTCTTACAACCTTAAATGTAATAGAATCTTTCTGCTATCAAGTGGATATGAAATTAGTGAATGCATGAAAATGTTTATAGCATGTTTTTGGTAGCTTTTCTGATATTTTTCTGAAATTTCACTCAGATAAGAGTAAATTTAGCTGGATATGAAAATGCTCGAAGTTACAGTCACTGTCTAATACAGTGTTTCCATCAAATGTAATTGAAATGTATTTTAATTAATAAAAGTTTTTTTTTTTTTTAATTATCTCTCTGTTTGATGGGCTGCAGAGTGTCCCAGACTCAGGTGGGCCAGAACTTCACATTTGTGCTCACAGACATTGAGAGCAAGCAGAGGTTTGGGTTCTGTCGGCTGACGTCCGGCTGCAGGGTCTGCATCTGTTTGCTCAGGTAAAAGAGCTTTACTGATTCATTTTTTTATTCATTTATTTATTTCACTTTTTTTTTTTTTTTTTACTTTTGCAGTGTATAATTTTCAGCTTGCCAATCTGCGTCACAAAATCATTTCATATCAAATTCAAAATCAATCATAAGTAAGGAGAGATTTCACTTTCATATCAAAAATATACTATTAATATATCATTAATAGATAGAAAGTTTTATGGATTGAAGAGGCTTTTTTTTTAACAATGTCAATTTTCCTGTTTTAAGGAAAACAAATTCCAGATCAGTTCTAGATGCTGAAATAAAGGGATTAGAAGCAAACTATACTTCACTTTTATTAAATAATAATAAACACAGATAGGAATACTCCTTTTGTTTTTTTTAGATCATAATATGCTTGATCATATATTCAGAATGAGCTGTTCCACTGAGATTGGTAGAAGACTGTGTTACATAAACGATAAACCAGTGTATTTAATAATACAAATACATTTAGTAATTCAGAGCAGCTCAACTGGGACCTATCACATTTCTCTCCCTCCGTCTACATGGTATTGATGGACAGTCGCAGGTTTATCATTGTCAAGATGAGCTCCTGTCGAGATCTCTCCTCCTCCCACCCCGGCCAGGATGGCCTTTGTTTTTGTGTGTGTGTGTGTGTGTGTTTTTTTCTCTCTTTCTCTCCCCCCGTTATTCAGGCACAGAGGCATGCTGGAGACTGTTCACCAATAATTATGCATGAAGCCCTGCTGCCAATTAGCAAGAGTCTCCCCTGTCCCTTTCACTGAGTTTTACATGCTAATTCATTTGACATATGATGTATAAAATTCATTATGCATTCTGAGTAGTTTGCATGGCTTCCTTCATTCATAATAAGAAATGCATTCAAAGTTTTGTTCCTTTTTTTTTCTTTAAGACCTTAGACTTCTTTTGTTTGTCATCTATTTGGAAAGAACATGGACAAATGTAACAAAAGACCTAAAGGAAGTTTTATTTTTCTGCCTTCTTGCAGAAGAATAGAGGATAGGAATAAGTATTTAAGTATATTATATATATATTCTTAATTTTTCATATTCTCTATTGTAGACACATCTATCTATCTATCTATCTATCAATCATGTTTTAAATATGTAATATTAAGTGTGAAGTTTGACTTATAAATTCAGTGAATTATATATATTTTTTTCTATTGATCTTTTAGATATTATAAGACACATAAATTGATATATAAATAATTGTATAAATTATAAATTTTTTGTTTTTTGTAAAGGGAGACTTTTTTCGTATTCACACACATTTACACTCCCCACCAGAATATAAAAGAAAAGTAATTAAAACAGTTAGTGTCCTTCCTTATGATTGTTGAAGTGCTGGGACCATAAAATTGTCACCTAAGCTTACCCAAGGAAGTTGCCTAATGAGAGGGACAGTTTTATGTGGACAGCCCTTTGTAGCTTTGCAGGTTTAGCCCAGGCCAAATAGGCCAGGGTTCCTTCAGGCCAAACCACTTCAAAAGCACAAGCGTTCCGTTTTACCCCACCCTCTACACCCATCCGGCCTTCGGACACTCCGAGCACATAGCCTTCGGACATATGCGAGACCCCAGATGAAATAGACCCTCTCTCTCCCTCTCGCCTGTTTTATTTGATGGCTGAGACCCGACTTGGCGTCTTCCTCAGACAGCAGAGGTTTTCTTCAGTTAGTGGCCATTTAGCGATATTTCTTTCCCTCTGCTGAACATAAAACTCAGGAAAAGTCAGGGTGTAATCGTATCTCATCCTGGGAAGGATACAAGGTGCAAGCTGACTTGCTTTTAAAGCTCCTAAATACCTCCAATGATTTAGGATGCATGTTGATTTAAGGGCCGATTAGATCGCGCAAGCGTATAAGACGAACCAAAGACCATGCATGGAGTTTAAAATTTCAAAATAAATGCATAATATGACTTATGACTGATTTATAGTGGAATTTTGAAGTTTGAAACCACTACTGAGATTTTTTTTCAAAATCAGTAAAACGTTTTATTATTATTAAAAAAATTATATAATCAGCATAACAGTTTGTTTTGAAAAGGTGAATTGAAAAAGTAACTCTTTGAAAATTATTTTTTCCTCTTGCTTTAATGACAGCAGCACTTTTGATTAGTCATTTTGATTAGTGACCTGGAAATAGTGAATAATGTTTAATATTTTATTAATTTGATTCTATTTTTATGCCAAAATATGCTTTCTTTTTACATAAAAACATATTTCCATGTTTTAAATCCCATATTTTCTGTGTGTTTTCAGACTTTTTGGTCTAAAAATAGATTAAAACCCAGCAGCTGTCTTGACAAAAGTTACATTTCGGCTCAGAAGTAGTTCTCAAGTAGTTCACACCTAATTCTCGAAAATACAAATACATCTTTTCTAATCATGTCATGACCTACACATTCTCCCATTCATTGGTGGTCAGTTTCTGTCTTTTTTTTTGTTCCAGCTATCAAACCAATTGCTCAAGCTTATCTGATGCTTCTGGCTGTGGAGCTCGAGTTTGTTAGGGATTGCCAGTAAGCCACAGATAAGTTGGTTTACTCTCCGAATACACACGGCGCTAGAGAACCTAAAAGGGCCGTTGAGATTGGCTCGTCTCAGCACAGTTCAGCATGATGAATGTTCCTCTATCAGAGGATTTGCCCAATACAAACACATTTTTACTTACTAGCTGTGAAGAGATTGGGCTGGAGTGTCGTGCTCCCCTCAGCCTATTTATATATATATAAAAAAAAAGTTAAAATGAGTAGAAAAATTGTGTGCTTCTGCCTTGTGACTTAAAAAAATGAATCCAGGATTTTGTGAAAGGTATTCCTCCCTGGATGTCTTCATAAACGCAAGTCTGCTGCTTATCGAGCAGTGATTTATTTGACTTTAAAACAAGATTTGCATGCTCTCATTTAAGACTATAATGAATGTTTGTGCTCTCCAAGGCCTGCCGTGCCTTTCTGACAAGGAGAGGCTCCCATTTAAATCCCCTTCACGTGTGAAAAATGAAGGATTAGCATCCAGGAGCCTCGCATTTTAAACAAAGAGCGAGTGAGAGAGAGATAGATAATGATTTTTCTTTGTTGTGCAATGCAGCTTGAGCAAGGTGTCGGTCGATTACGATATTTCAAACAACACGTCACGCTAACCAAAACACGCAGACCATGGATTATTTTTTCTCATCCATCGAGAAATTTGCATAGACACATTTCATTTGGAATAGTGTGACCTGGTTTGCGAACGTCGTCATGCACGTCAAAATATTGGCATGTTAAGAGATGATTGTTTTAGGTTAATGGTCACCGAGACTTGAAACTCTCACGCTTGAGCGCACGTCCCTGGGAACGCCGTGCCACTGGCCCCTTTCTACGGATTCGGCAATATGAAAATTTTTCGTTAGATACACTTAGTTGTGTTTTTTGTTGTCTGTTAATTCCAGTCTGCTGGAGAGCTCACTGACCCATGGAAGGATAAAAAGGGGGGAAAAAACCTCCAATCAAGACTCGTGCTCTGTGGTTTAACTGGGATCAGATTATATGAAAGCTTTTCTGCCTTTTCTTTTTCAAAAATTACTGCATCTATTAATTCAAGCTTCTTCTTTTGCTCTATCTTTGCCAATTAAGGTAATCAAGCATTAGTGACAGACAAAAGTCGAAGCTCTGCGTTTGAAAAGAATAGCTGATGTAATCGCTCTCAGTTAAGTGTGAGATTTCAGACCGAGTCTAAATGCATGTTGTAATCATGCCTACATACCGGGAAAGAAAAAGTCAGAGCCCACTAGCAGGCTGCATTTTTTCACTAGATTGCATAACAAAATTAATGGTGTGTGTTCTTACAACCTTCAAGCCAAAACAACACACTGGCCGCGTTCCATCTTTAAAGGCCTGTCAACTTTGCCAAGATTCTGTCAGGCAGCAACACACACAATGTTGCAGATACTCTTGGCTAGTCATTGTGTGATTAGTTAATGCACATTGATAAGGTGTGAATTATTTCTGTACTCCTGCTAGGAAATGTAATTTTAGAAATTCATTATTAAGAGAAATTAATTTTAAGGAGAAAAAAAATGGTGACATATGTAGTGACTTAATGTACGACAGTGAGGTTCAGGTTGTGCATCTGGGCGCAGCATGCTTGTAAACCATCCCATCCCTGGTTTATTACAGGCTACAGTGGTCCAGACGTGTTTTTGTTGAAGAAACCAAATACTTTTATTTAGCCCGCTCCGTGGCTGGAATGTTTAAAATGCAAGTGTCAGCGAGTAGCAAGAATGTGATAAGGTTCACTGTAGCCGAAAATGCTAAAGGAAGTCTAAAGCCCGCCAGGTTAAAAGTCAAGGTGAGGAAGAATCGGCTGTGGTGTATTTGAGAAAAATGATGTCCACCCTTTTGAACTGGGGCTACAGTGTTGTTTATAACTTTTTCTTGTTAAGTATTTTAATAAATAATTGTTTAATGCATTTTTTCTTCTATTTTTTTGACAGCTATCTACCATGGTTTGAGATTTATTATAAGCTGCTAAATACCCTTGCAGACTACTTGTCAAAACACCAGGTAAGTTAAGGGAAGTCTTCAACTTGTCTTCACATGTCAAAAATGAGCAAAATTACAGTAGCAACGATTTACACAATACCCAAGATTTACACAGAAATTTGTATTAAATCGGATCCTTTAAAAAATATAGTGTGATCATTTATTCAAGAACAGATTTATGAACAGTTTTACACATTATTGGATTTCATGTAGAGTTTTTAAAATACCAGCTAAGGTAAAGTTGCACATTTCTGATAATGGTTTTATGATCTATACAAGAATGTGCATTAAATGCAGCAATTTACAAAGAATTATTTTTTTTAAGATTTACTTGAATTTGCATTATATGCTGTACTTCATGTAAAATCATTAATAAAACTGCTCTTCAATAAATTATCACATTTAATGCAAATTTTTAAATACTGCTACCCATGGAAAAAATGAGCAAAATAACAACATGAAAAAATAGGCTTATGAAAGGTTAACACAGAAATTTGCAATTTTTATAAATCCATTTTTAAATACATGATTGCATTTAAAGCACATCTTTAATGATAGGCTTACAGACTTTTTAAAACACCAGCTAAGTTGAAGTCTTCGACTTGTGTTTAATGAGCAAAAATTCAATACATAAGAATGACTTTGAAAAGATTTACACAGAAATTTGCATCACGTGCGCTCATTTATTTAAAAATGGTTTTATATGAACCATTGTACACACATTATTGCATTTAATGCAAGAATGTACCCTTGCAGACTTTTTAAAACTTTGGCTTAAGTTAAAGTTGCACATTTCTGAAAATGGTTTTATGATGTGCACAGAAATATTCATTACATTCTTGCAATTAATGCAGGAATGGTTTTTAGATTTACACAGATTGATATTATATGCTATACTTTATTTAAAATCGTTCTTAAAACCATTCTTAAATTATCACGTTTAATTTAATCCAAATTTCTAAATAGACTACATATCAAAACATTAGCCTTCAAGGAAGGAAGGAAATTCTAATTCAAGGAAGGAGCCTTCAAATTAAGTAAGTTAAGAGACATCATCAGTTAAAATTTCTATATGTAAACAGATCAAACAGTATCTGAAAGTTCATTTATGGAGAACTGTAAATATTTGTAATTGTAAAATACATTTTTCTCTGTGAGGTCACTTTTTCATGTGGCTGATTGCACCGTGCCAGACCCCCTATTGAGCAAACGGCTAATGTCACAAATGGCATCGAAAATTACCAGCATTCCTGCC